ACATACCTGATTTGTGATTGCTGTGATTATCCCAATCGGAAGAGTGAATAAAATGGCAATTGTGCATGCAAGCAAAACTCCCCACCAGGGCAATTGAAGCTGATCAATGTAATACTCGCAAGCAAATACCGTGACTGCAATGTTTACCAAAAGAATACACACAAACCACCATTCTGGAACTTGCTTATACCTCCTCATTAGTCTTGTGTGTATGTCCATTTTCGTCTCCATAAAGCTTGCTTTGCTTTGCTCCCAAATTTCTCTACATTTTCAAAAGATTAATAAGTGAGTTGAGTTTCCTTCAATTAGCTAAGACCTAAGGCAAAGTTGTGGATGGAAGGTACCTTCCATGAAATAATGCCACATGAACAATTGTTGCAGTAAGTGCAGCAAAACCAACTCCATAAGTCATTGCAAAAAATGTGCTTAGGAAAACAGGTCCTTCTTTCAAGTAGGCCTCAAGGTTGAGATGGCAATTGGAATCAACGATGGCGGAGATGTTGTACTCTTGACCTGTTGCATTGAAGAGATCATCTGAAAAAATGGGGAATGTTTTGGCGTTGTAGACATTGAGCCAGTAGCAGGCGGGAGTCAAAACATACATGACACATATGAATCCTACAGCTACATTTGCTGTGGCAAACCATGGGCTTGCAAGTGGGCTTCCAAGGTAGGATGAGATGGTGGACCAATCAATTCCAAAAGCAGCAATTCCGAGCCCGTAAAGACCAGAACCGAGTTGTTGGGCCAGCACAGATTTTGGATAGATCCAACATATCCAAGAAAGGGAAGTTAGCATTTCGAAGAGGTAGCCGGGGAAGATATAGTAAGCAAAGCTGCAAATGAAGGCAATTAGGAAGAATTGGGTTCTTGTGACTCCACCCTTGGGCCTCACTTCCTTTTCGTGCAAAGCCCTTTTGCAAAAAAAAAAAGAAAAAAACATTATTTAGTTTGAGAAAGCAAAAGCTCGGAGAAAATGTTATACCATTAATTTTCCAAAGTAATTAATAAGTTCTGTGCTCCCAAAATGTTACTAGTGTATCATAGCAAGGGCCCTTTTTTTTTTTTTCTTTAGCGATGATCCAACATTTACGGCCATTACATAATTGGCTCTTTTGTGTTTTGAAGGTTAGGTGGAGGTGTGAAATCCATCCTCCATCGCCCATCCCATATCTTTGGAATTGGAATAAAGTTGAATCTTACAAGCACAAATACAAACATGAGGAAACTCCCTGTTAAGCCTCTCTCTCTATCTAGGTAACTGACTTAGATGTCATTTTATTTGAATTTATTTCCTTTAAAAATTGATGTTTATGACCGAGGTTTTAAAAAAATTAAGAAAAATGTATTTTAAAATTATATCATTTTAATAAAATTTTATAAAATAAAGGTAATACATTTTTATTTTAAAAAAAAAAATATTTTACTGTTTTTCAATAAAAATTGAATAAATCATATGTAATTTTAATATTTTTTTCTTTTAAAAAATTAGAAGCCAATAACAAACACTTTATATATATAACGATTAAAGAGGTTGTCAAATTATTGTTGCAAGGGTTATCAATAAAGGTCCTGATTTAGTGCAGAAAAGTATACATGTTTAGATGATGAAGGTTTTCAAATTTTAAAAAATAAAAATAAAAATAGTAGGGGAATTACCTGAACAAAGAAACTTGAACAAGATTGGCAGGCCACCACATAGCAGCCGGTTCCACAAGATACTTCCTGAATATCCCAGCCCAACCAAATCCCAATACCTACCATTCATAAACCACGTCCAAACCATTCAAACCTAACTCAAACACCACATAATTAATCTCTAAAAGTCCAAAAGAGCAAAGAAGAACTAACCTGAGTTGTTATGACAACAATCAAGGACACAAAGAAGGAGATGTGCCTCTTATAAAAAACCTTAACCACGGTCACAATATGGATGGCATAGACAGTTCCAGCACCGGAGTTGGCGAAGATTGTGATCAAAACATGTTCTTTCACATTGAAGGGCCCCGGGTTGAGGGTGAATTCCAATCGAGTCCCTTTGAAGAAGACGCGGTTTGTGATCCTGGCAGCCATCAGTCGGCCTAGAGGCACCACCGCTATCTGGGCGGAGATGGCGGTGATGGTCATAGGCTCCGTTCGGTACCAGAAGAATTGGTTAAGAAACGATAACACGACGCAGGAGAGAGACCCCAGAACCCACATTCGGAATGTGAGGACTGGTAGAGAAGGGTCATCTGTAGTTGGTACGGTTAAGGCCACCTGTCTGACCGGCGAGTTCTCCTCCGGTTCCAATGATACCTCATTAACTTCCGATCCAGATTTCGACTGTGACGATGATGATGGGTTGTTTACATAATCATTTTTCTCATTCCAAGATACTGCACACAAGAAATAATTCCATATAAAAAATGAAATTAAAAAAAAAAAAAAAGGAAAAAAGAGATTAAATGAGGGACTTACTGAGAGGAGCTGTGATCTCTTCAGGGGATGCTTCTTCCATAGTTTTCTTTTTTCCTTAATTTGATGTTAAAG